GGGGGGTATTTTACCATTACCATGGTTCTTAAGTTTTAAGGCACTTCGGGAAGCTCTACCTGAGCTATGCCTGTGAAAGGGAGAGCCCACCTTACTACAGTAGTAAGTTTGTTTCGGTGTCAAGGAGGGAGCTTTGAGAGAGCTTACTCGCTGTACCGGGTGATTTAGAGAAGACGCAGGTGCGGGCTGCCTATCCTCGACTCGGCGGGCGCACGGGTCCAAGGTCTGGGGAGAGGTGAGGAGGGGGCCCGCGTGCGCCCTCCGAGTGGAGGATAGGCAAACCCGCCCGCACCTGCATCTTCTCTGAATCACCCGGTACGCGTGTCCTCTCGCATTGGGCATCGTGTTATTTGCGGCACTGTAATGCGCAGGGATACCAATTTATATTATGACCATGCGTGATTAATAAAGGCCACGCGTAGCACGCCCGAATCCCCCCACGAGCCGCGGCCCGCCGCGCCCGCCGCGGCCCGCCGTGCCTTATGTCGGGGTGATCACCCCGGCTCGCCCCGCCGGACCCGCCCGGCGCCTCACGCTGTCGCGCCGCCCGGGCCGGAATCCGCGCCCCGCCGCGGCGCCGGCCGGCTGGACCATTTACGAGATGTGGTTATAAAAGCGCTCGGGGCGTGTCACCGATTGGGGTGCGGAGATCAATAATAGGGGAGGACAAAGTGGATGAGCCACCCAAGCCGTAAAACAGAGAGCTGACGTAGACGCGTGTCATTGGGAGCCGGGCGTAAGAAGGGGGTGGCAGACCAGAGGGGGAGAGTTTCCCTTAACAATCCCGGGCCAAGGGAGGGGCACTTCGACACCAGCCTCCAAGGAAGCCGGACATCCAGTGACCCGCCCCCAAACCACCCCGCCGACCCCAGTCTCCGAGGCCATCGCCACCCTCCTCGACGGACTCCTCGACTCCGCTACCAGACCACCGCTTCTCCTGACGGACTGCTCTGCCTACCCCGGGACCTCCGCCGCCTCCTCCGACAACCAGCTCACCGCTCTCTCTTTCTCACCTCTCCTTACCTACTCTTCACTCCGGTAAGCTTCAACCATCCTGTGTGTGCTCTCTCGGCTCTCCCCCAGTGCTCCCCTGGCCCCTGTGACTTAGGCAACCAGTGCTCATCTGAACCGACTGTAGGGGGTAGCCAACGGTGACTCTTTGTGTTACGCGGTCACGTAATTACTCGAGTAGTACCGGGTGCTCTTGTTGGTGTTGGTCTTGGGAATTACCTCCGTGCATTCAATTCGTTAAGCTTTGAAGGGGGAATGTCACCCGGACCCGCGCGGTCTGTACAAAAGGGTGCCGCTTCCAATAACTGCACGGACAGGGGCAGGAGGGAGGGTGGAGGCCTTACAATATCGCAATCACACCGCTATTCTCAAAGGTAACGGCGCGATTCCTCCCAAGGGAACGGACCGCACCCGAGCCATCTGCTTTTTCATTAGTAGAGGCGGAGGAGGAGTGGGGGG